AAGTTAATAAAATCAAACCGCCGCATTTAATGATTTAACCAGTACGTACCAAGCGGTAAATGATACTTGCGGCATCATTATCGGCACATTTCCGTACGACATACCAGGCCCCTGTATGTATTTCGGATCAATTCAATTAAATTACAGTGTTGCATGTAATTACTTAATTGGTACGTGCAAACCAATCGAACGTGGCATACATTGGGGTAGATGAAAATTCTGATCGCAACCCCCCGTTTCCTTCATAACGACACATGGAAGATAAAACTGATAAGGGTGGAGGTGCACACAAGTGCCTCGGGAACCTGCGTGCACGACATATGCTCGGTACGTTGGGGAGCCGTGAGGTACCTGTACGCATGTACTTGTAGGAGAAAACACGCGTGCACGCATGTGTCCCCATGGGCCACGTCTCGCAACCCCCTTTGGTCGTGCATGGAATACGTAGGTCGGTTCCGGCACCCTTCCTCCACCTTTTCGCCATCTCCCCTACCGAGTAACCTGTGCCCACGACAGATGCCAGCCCGATGGCGTGCCGACACATGGAAACCGATATTTCGGGGTACGGACACCGAGAGTGTACGTGCCATACGTGCCAGCCATTTGCTTCTCGTCTTTCGAGAAGAATTTCGGTTCCTTCCCCGAAAGGGAGGGCCACTTTTTGCGTCTCTTCGCACCTTCACCAATCTTGATGCCAATCATACCTGATTAGGCGAGGAGAAATCAAGTACACCCACGGAGTCTTCGTAAGCCATGCGAACAGCATTTTCTGTAAATAGGATTTTCTACAATTTTACAGTTTCTCGTTGATCTCGAGAGCCGATCGGGCGTTGAAGTCTCCGAGCCGAAGGAAATACGGAAACTCAGGCAATCTCCTAACTGCAATAAGTCGTAATAAAGCCGTTAAGAAGATTGTCCGAATCCGGGTAAGGGTGCGGAAGGCAGATCTCGAGGAAGGAGGCAATCCACCCTGGGGCTCGGCTCGGCGGTTTCGGGGTCGATCCCCCCTGGGGGGCCCTTCTCCCAGGTTTTCGGGCCCAGGCCCCTCTGGCCCCGGGGCCCTAGCGAGGGCGCATGCGCATTTAGCTGCCACGTACTCGTACCGAGCCGTCTGCGCACGGGGTCGGCGCATCGCTCATCTTACCACTCGGCCGGTAATTAATTTCATGATAATTACCGGCGGGGAACCGAGCACCGCCGCGAGCTCGGGCCGGGGCTCGAGAAAATAATTATGGGATAAACTACAAAGTCAAAGGTACCAGGCAATATCGGTAGAGGTAGAGGCCCCATAGCACTGCGCCAGATCCGGAGATGTCTGCAGCCTCCGCCTCGTAAAAGAAAAAGCGCCATCCCGATTGCACCTACGAGAGTAATTGATTTTTTGCCCTGATCGTTAACTTTTACGGCCGCTGTATCGGGGTCCCTTGATTTTCAATGGGGACCCGTTATGTCGGCTCATTTTGGGACTTATGGTTTGTACGGTTTCCGGAAAAATTCAGAAATTTCATCGGGGGCAGGAGACCAAGATGTATAAATATATAAAATAATGTAACATATAAAATATGTAAGGCCATTGTATTAACAAAATTTTAATAAATCTGTAAAACATCTATTGGAGGTTTCCCTCGGTATATTCGAAATTTGTCATTCACTAGTTGCGATGTCGCCAACTTCGGTATGTACCTTCCTTCTTAGTCGAGCCGATCCTTGCACTTGTCGTGCCGAGCCGGTCGGGGCCGGTGCAAAGCTTACAGTTAAACAGATTTGCCATTTACGAGCCTCAGCAGGAAGTCCATCCAAGACAAGAGGACCCGGTCTGCTTTTCGTCCTAATCGGCTGTACTGGCTTGTCCGCTTGCTTGTAAAATTACGATAATTCCCAGACCTCAACACCCCGCCCTTCTTCCATGGAGCAAAGCTCTTCCGGGTACTATTCGGAAAAGCTTTCGATGCTCCCAGGAAAAGTTGTCAAAGTGACATGCTCTGTCCGACTCTTCAAGCTACGAAAAATTTTTTTATTATTTCTAATGACATTTTAACCCCTTAACTTTGAAAATCGTAATTGCATTCGTAAAAAGAAATTATGCCATATAGCAATTTAAGGTCTACGGACGAATGGACCTAATGCGCCATTAAGTGACCACTTGGAATGTATGAAACAATAAGTTATGAAGAACAAGTGTGCTCGTTTCCGCCCGCCGCCATTGTTGTGGCTTCGCTCTTTTTTAACCCCGCGCTCATTTCCCGTGCATTCAGCACGTAAGTTCACCCTCCCTCTGGGATTTTGATAAAAAAAGCTTCCCCTTTTCACAATAGGCACGACCAGCCATCATTACATCGTACTGACCATTAAAATCAACCGTGTACATATTCCCATAAACATTGCGTGACTGCATTTTCGGCCCATCTGCGGCCGCCATTTCGAATCACTCGATTCTGTCAATTTCTCCAAGTCTTTCATTTATCTTTCAATTACACTGGTTGACATATCCCAACTTTTCAGAATTTTCCATTTCGAAGCTATAGGGTGAAACTAAGTACAAAAGTGCCATAGAGTAAATCATTATTTATGTACAATCTCCCAGGGGAAGGTGGTTAAACTCCTTAGGCGAAGTTATCGGCGAGTCGCGATGCTCGGAACCGAGGGTACGCACCGGAATAGCGTTAAAAAGAACTCGTTCTCTCATTCGGAGATACAACCCCTGGGCGAAGCCATCTCCGTTGTTACCGTTCCTCCATACAGATCGTATTTCGTTCCGCACCGAGAGCAAGATTTACGGGCTCTAGAGGGAGATTCACGAGGAGTGCACTTCCAACCGCAAACCGGGCACCTCCGTTATTAGGAAGCCAACGATTTTCCATTTAGGTGCGACCTTAAGGGTAACACCCCTTCGGAGGTGTTCTCTTCTCGGTTAAACGAGAACACTTGCCGCCGATATATGTATAATTTCAGCTACAAGTGTTCTCGTTTGAGCGAGAATCGAACGCCTTCGGTGGGATGGTACCTGTAAGGTAAGGTGCCAACTAAATGGAAAACCGTCGGTTTCTTAACGATTCCGCGGGAATATACGCACGTGCACGTATGTAATATGCGCCAAGATCATACGGCTGAATTGAAAGGATACGCGTTTAGCGCGCACCACGCTTTGCGGCATGTAAGGGCTTAACATCCCGGCGCCGGAGTTACTACTCCTTGATGTTCATATTTAACGCTTTCCATATTTTTCTTTCATATCTCCTATTACCACTTCGATCTGAGAGGTGCTGCCGAAGAAATTGTTACAAATTCTTCATAATATTCCGTTAACTATGAAGGGTTTTTCACAAACATTGAAATTTTATGGGTACCGAGACCTTCCTCACGGCCTCGTGGCCATGGAGAAAAGTGTCATAAACGAGACATTAAGGCCACTTTCGCACCCCCTTAATCGCGATGCAAATTCTAAACAATGCATATAACAACCAGGTACACCATTATAAAATTTTCATGACCCGAAATAGGGCTCGGTTACGTGACACGTATTTGCGATTTCACCGTGGAATGGAAATTCTTGCATAAATTCCGCAGATCATCGAGGCCCTCACCGAGAGTAATCCGGTGTGTCGGTGCACGTGATGTTTCGGGGTCCACCGGCGTGCACGCGTCGCGTAAGTCTCGTTCGATAGGATAGGTAAGAGAGGAGGGCATACCTGTTCCCGTCCGGAGCATGTGTGCGTGCGAGCGAGAAGGCCTCCGGCTCACGCGTGCATCCACACGCTTCTCACGGACACGCGTGTCGACGCATATATGCGCGCTTGCGTCCGGGCCCACGGACACGCGTGTCGGCGCATGCGCACGGGCCCGCGGAGGGAGGGGAAGGGCCCGGCGCGCGCCACGCCGAGGAGAGGGGAGGCGGCTCGCGTCTCGCAGCCTCCCCTCGCGCAGCTTCCTCTCGAGCCCCACCCCTGGACCAGCTTTTTTCTCCCGGTAACTGTTCAAATTTTCTTCCCCGGCGACGGGGACGAGTGCGCGCCCAGGGTGGGGACCGGGTCCAGTGTCTCTCACCCGAATTTGCAAAAATTATCAACTCCGATAATGCATAAAAAACCATTTATCTCGCAGCTTTAACTGGGGATGCTTTGGCGAAGGTTAGACGCTTAATGCGCATTCTTTATGTCGAGGGTTAGATGAAGCTGGGAAATATGGAGAAATACCTCGATCTGGAAATATGCATCCGAATCCGCACACTTTGGGAATATCGAGAATATCGTAGCTGTATCGAAATGTGTTCACTTAATTTTTACAAGGAACAAAAAAAAAATTAGGTAACATTATAATGCAATGGAAATGAAAGCGAACCACAGGGGGTCCGAAATTGCGACCCCCCAGAGCGATTGACCTACAGGGAGCCATACCGCTCATCATTGAATGCAGCCGTCAATAAAATGGATAATAAATTATGAGACAATCGAATTGCGGTTAATAAGGAAGACGTTCGCAGATCTGAGGAGTTTGCAGCATCCCGCCTCTAAGCAATCCAGGACTCTAAGCGGTGCATAGGGTGGCGCGCGCTGGTTTCCTTAGGATCCAGGCGGGTATTCTTGGGCCGAGATGAGAATCTCGGATGTCGTAGGGCCTTTGGGGCAGCGCGTATGGTGGGGCCCGGCGGAGGGGCCAGGGAGGTAGGGGGTTTAGGGCCCGATCGAGTGTGGGCCCGGTGGAGGGGATCGGCGCGTGCCCGCCCGGCTATAAAAGGCCCCGTACCCTCCTCAAGCGGGCATTTCGGGAGCCACCACCGTGCCGTGCACATCGCGTGTAATACTGGTTAACCCACAGGTGCGCACGCGTGTTTATCGCTACACCACAGGATCTGGGAATACGGCTGATTAAGGGGGCGGAAGATATCGGGCCCACTATCGAGGACCTAGAGCGCGACTCATCGGGATCCCTGCGACCCCAGGAGGTCACGTAACGGAGAGGACCCAGTCGGTGTCTCATATCACACACAGCGGGTGTGTGATATGACCCTGGTTGGACTACAGGAAGAGGGCCTTTCCGGACTACCGATGATGCTGAGCGTCCAGCAACAACACCACTCGCTGCACGGGCCCCACGGGCCTGGCGGCAACCCTGGGGTCCAGACGCATCGGGGCAACGTCATCGTCTCCACCAACAGCGTGCCCACCGGGGACCTGAAGGTCCTTCAGCACGGCTGCAAGCGGAGCAAACTCTACGCGACGACGACACCCTATGGGACCATGCCCCATCAGCCAGCCTCCGTGGCCAGACGCAACGCCCGCGAGCGGAACCGCGTCAAGCAGGTGAACAACGGGTTCGCCACCCTGAGGCAGCACATCCCCCAGAGTGTGGCCCAGGCCCTCGGGGGCAGCACCGCTGGGACCGCAGGAGCCGCCAAAGCCAGCAGCAAGAAGCTCTCCAAGGTGGAGACCCTGCGCATGGCCGTGGAGTACATCCGCAGTCTGCAGCGTCTCTTGGACGACCACGACTCGTCGGACCCCAACAGCACGGCGCCCTCGGCGTCCCCTGCAGCTTCCCTGTCCTCGGCTTCGTCAGCCTCCTCCACCTCGTCGCAGGCCGACCTTGTCAACGATGCCATGCATCATCATTCCGGCGAGATCAGGCTACGCGCTGGGAGCGCCCATGGACCAGATTTGCCCCGCCACGTTCGGCAGAACCCCAGCCCTGGATTCGTGCCTCCACCCTGCTCGGAGGCCTCCAGCTCCCCTACCCCTAGCTTCGTCTCGGAGGCATCTTCTGCCGGAAGCCAGGGCTATGGAAACTCCTCTGGGAGCACGCTGTACTCTCATCACTCGGACAATTACGACAACTACGAACCCATGAGCCCCGAGGACGAGGAGCTGCTCGATGTCATTTCCTGGTGGCAGCAGAGTCAATGAGATCAAGGAACCGATTCTTCTCGGGCTGGGCCTAGCTGGAAACCTCCCTCAGGTTTGTACCTACCCTTTCAAGTTTCTCGACACACCCCAGGACTCGATCCTCGACAGGAAGTGGGAACGTTCCAGGTTTTAGTTATTTTGTGGTACTTTGCGATAATGGTCTACGGGAAGGATTTCTATTTTCCTTATCTCTGGAACTTGCCGGATTCCAGGATAGGATCGATTCCGTGGAACGTGTTCTGGATTTCATTAGCATCCTCGGATCGATGGGTAGAAGCGGAAGAGGGAAGCATTCGAGATCATGATAGTTTTAATAGTTTTAGTCGACTGAGTAGTCGTCGGTTACTAATGAGGGAGATGATCAGGAGAACGCGCCGATGCCCAACTTTCATTTTATTTACCCGGTTGAACGTATACCCAATGTGCGAAAATTGTTGCTCTTGAAACGTATTAGATGTCGATATGCATTCTTGTTATGTGGCGTTCTGTCAGGAGATAAATTCCTCGCCATGTGTTCACCCTCCTCCTGCTTCAGACCACTTTCGCTCTCTTTCGCTCCGACCAACGCGATTCCTGCTTTTACCGTATGACCATCGCATTTTTCAAGGCTAACGGTACAACTCGTGATACGTGTAAACGATCTAAAATCGATCTTAATTGCTGCTTTTCGAATTTGGACCTCTTCAGGTCCGGGTTATCGCGTTTTCCCGTTAACGAGATATGTAAAAAATCCATAAACGACATGAAAGTGAAGGCCATGGATTATATTTAGATTCTATTTTTTGAGTGTACCGAGTTCGATCAGAACGCGACCGATCTTTCGAAATCGGGATCTGCGGAATCTGTCGCGAATTTAGGCGCCGGTCAGGGCGACGGTCGGTCCCGGTCGTGGCCGACCCGAGGAAGTCCAAAGAAATGTTCCGACTAGATTTGTGACCTTGTCCCGCACAATGGCGACCGACCCCTCGGCGAAGCTCGGACCATTGAAATGGCAGACTCCATTCAGTCTGCGCACGCATACACATCGGAGGAGCGACGCTTTTGTGCCGTGCTTCTTTCACGGTGTCGGTCCTTCTTGGAGCGTTTTTTTCCTCTCCTCTTCCCTCCCACCGAGCCACCCCATCGTCTCGGGCGAACGGGGCTGGATTCGTCGTGCCTAACCTAGCAACCACCTCGATTAAAGGGGATCCCCTTTCAACCCCCTCTATGGACGCTCGAGTCGCGTGTCCCTCTGGTGGAGCAGATCGGCATTTCCGGTCTCCCGGCGACATTTTACTTTTCATTTTAACTCGCGATTTCGAAACAACCGATCGGACTCGATTGTGAATTCAAACTCCGGTTTTTGATCCCTTCGCGTGCGACTCCATTTATGGGGCTCGTTTTGCTCTCGGTGCAATTTCAACCGACGAATTGACTCGATTAAACCGTCTTTAATTATTGAATTAATCTCCTTTTGGTAATTGAACGCCTCGATCCACTTTGTTGAAGTTTAATTATTCAATTGGTCTCGTGTTCCGAGTTACACGAGTCATTAATCAAATTAATGGCTATTAAAGGCGCGATCGAATTCCTTTCGAAGATATTGATTACCGGCTGGGCATCTTCATTAAAAATCCGATTCGCGCGTGTCCATCTCATGGAAATTTTCTCTTCCGAGTGCTCGACTCGCATTAATGAGAGAGAATGTCCCAACTTGTTTTATAGATAAACTGTCAGGTTGACGCGCTTCCTTTGCATAAGGCTGCTTCGAGGACATCTCGTAATCTACTTAATTTTATAGTTTATCGTTACGACGTATGACCCCACTTAGCATGAAATTAAATTATCCAATTCGTATCACCTCCATTTCCCATTAGACCTGAGTACGCCATTACCATTTTGCAAATTTCGTGTCTACGTAACGAAGTTAAATGTTTGCGTTCCAAAACTATAGAGTCCACGATTTAAATAATCTTAAACCGATAATCGTTTGCAATATTCATCGTCATTAATGATAACTGCGCATCATCGTCCCTGTATTGGTTGGCTGCCATATTGGATTCTAGTTCGCCTCTTTTTTACGTAATTCGGAAGTTGCTGCATAGTGATATTGACTAAAAAAAAAAATGCATAGCTCCTAAATCCCCGTAAGGCCCAAAGGTAGGTCCCCAGCAAATAAAACGCGTCGTCGCGACGCGTCGTGTCGCCAACAATGGCGTCGGTGGTTCGTCGTAATCTTTCCAGTTTTTCTCGAAGGTCCCCGTCTTCGGGGCCCTAGCCGACGAGTCTCTCGCGTCTTTTTCCCCCGTTCTGGGCCCGATACGGTCTCCCTTTCGCCGACGACGAAGACGATTTTGTCTCGCGCGCCGCGTTTAACCTGAATGCATCTTTCAGGATATTCCAGTCGAGGCCCCCGAGGTCCGTGGGGCCCCCCGCCCCCTTTGTCGGTTTTTCAACCGGTGCGCCATTCTTTCTCCTCTTCCTCGGGCCCCGTAAAACCGCCCTTACCTGAAATCATCCCTTGCGAGGGCCCCGTATACCTGGGCCCGACTTGGGCCCCTGGGTCCCACCAGGGTCCAACCCTCGACCCTCTTCCGCGAACGATACGGTCATCCCCGACTCGATAACCTGACGACCTTACCTGTGACATCGCTTATCTTTTTTCTAGGGCCCTGAACTGACCCCTCGTTTAGGAAAGATTGCTATTAAAAAATAATCTATCCCCATTCCCGGATAATAAATGAAAATTTATCTAATAAAAAGTTGCAAACGTGGAGACTTATAGGGAAAGCGACGCCGCCTTGGGAAATGTTCAAGAGACGCGTTCTTTTAGTTTAATCGATTTTGGATTTTCATTCCCTTCTTGATACATGCTAATATATATTTGGCTCTTTATATGATATGCAAGTTACTCGTTATATGCATATCCCGCGTGAATAGGTTCGTCCGGGCGGAGGGTGCTGGGTAAAAAGTGGTCTTTTCAGATTTCCACCCGGAGACTTCAATGCTTGGCTAACCGACGCATCATTTTTGTTACAGAAACGGCCAGCGAAGGGACAGAGGGCCATAGGGAGCAAAGGAGGACCCTAAAAGGAGGAAGCAACCGTGAGGGAAATGGCCGAAGAGTGGCGGCCATTTCGCTCGTACTGTGATCTAGTCATATATTGTATGTCGCATATATGCTCGTTCTTGCGAAGAAATAAAAAAGAGCAGGAGTCCATTTCGTCGACAGGGACGCGATCGAACCCCACAGCCATTTTTCTAACCCTCCGCCATTAGAAAATCAAAACGCGCGTACATCCTCGATCTAAACGAGGAATCGAATCGTACTTGATGACAGCCTCGAAGAAATCTTGTATCTCGCAAGTTTTCCGGGCTCCTTTTCAATGTAACTCAAAAATCCGAATTTTTTTTTTTCCTCATGATTTGCCAGGCCGGTTACATCCTCGATTACGATAAACATGCGGTTGAATTACTTATCGATTACTTTTTGGCTGATTTCGAGAAACGAGACCCCCAGAGCTTCTCGACGCTCCGTGAAAGCTTATGTACATAGCATATTTATAAATATATGTAAACATACGCTGGATATATGTGTACATGCGCCAGGAGGATGCGAATTGTCTTTCCGTTTAGATATCTGTAAAGTTTTAGGATTCTTCTTCTGTTTCTTTCCTTTTTTGGGGGGAAAGCACCTCGAAATTATGAGACCCTTTTTTTCAGGATGGCGGTTTTTGCGCTACTCGGAAGCGAAATTGGAAGTTCAGAAAATTATTTATTTAAGCGGCTAGCGTGAGAATTCCGCCGTCCTTCATAGTAAAGGGTCTCCCACGCCAGTGCCTTCTGTAAATAGTGATAAATGACTTGTTAAATATATGAGACGACGTTAAGTATAATCTCGTTTTTCTCATTTTATCGGCCTCGTACTTATCGCCCTGTCCCTCGTTTCCTTGAATTTCCACTTCCGAGAAAACTCACCCCGACATTTTGTCACTGTTGAAGCACGAGTTGTAAAAACTCGTCGAAAAGGCGCCTTATCGATAAATATTGTTTTTGGAACATTAAAGAGATATCAAGTATGCCGGAAAATTCCCGACGTATTTGCTTCTAATAAATTGTACAAGGAATTTACGTTGACAAGTTCGCGGATAAAATTCGAAACCTGTCAATGGCTTTACAAACCTTGCACGTCGATTTGAATAATAATACGAAAATCGTTATTTAAAAAATTACAAAATTCTATGAGCGTCATTTAAAAAAAATCGTCGTCAATTTCAAATCATTGTTCACGTTCACTAAATGGAAACTTACTTCGAGGGAAGGTATCCTCTGGTTTCGAGAAATTTTTCCAATGGTCAAGTAAGCAAGGGCTGATTTATTCGAGGGACATTGTCGAGGTGGTAAATCGCGTACGGTTTAATAGCCGTACTTGTACACCTGACTTCGCACCGTCGAGGAAAGGTTAACGAGGACGACGGGGGGCCGGAGAAACTCATTGTATCAGTAGTTAGTAACGGCACTTCACCGAGGCAGGTACCATCCTATCGACAGATCCAAATTTTCCCCATGAAAATCCGCAAGGGGTGAACTAACTCGAAGGACAATTCGAATGGGAAACCCTGCAATAATTCAAAAATCTTCCGTGGACTTCACTTCTGCGCCCTCTTATTTTTACTTTTAACGATCCTCCCCTTTTTAACCAGGAGGGATTTTAACCGTTTAAATCGTCACCGAATCTGTCATAAAATTCCGAACATGCTGGCTCAAGAATAAAAATCGGGTGTACGTTATTAGCATTCGGGTATAAAAATCGAAACTCAAATTAGCAACCGTGCACGTGATGAAACGCGACTTTTTAATCGTGACGATTTCCGTGACGTCACGAAATCGCTCGAAATTGCAGGTGGTGCGCAGCCGGTAGGACGATGACGTATCGACGACCAGGAGGAAGCGAGGCAAGAGAAAAGGAATATGGCGCAGGGCAGAGGTCGTCGTAAGTACCGATCGATCAGGAGGGTGCC